ATAAATATCGGGAGAGAAATGTTGCCGACATCAAAATTGGATTGAGTACAATTGGCTCGCTGTCAAATCCATGTTTAATACCCCCGAAAGAGCATAAAACTCATAATAATATCACGATAACGTCATTGTAACTTTATTCATCACTTAAAAGTTACCTGAACATATCCAGACAACTTTTAAGTGATGAATAAAGTCATATTGACGTCATCATGATGTTATGATACGCGAAGAAATATAATATTCTCGAAAAAATACGTGAATTTAAATAGATTGAAAAGAATCTGTCTCTTCTCTACGGGCTTAGGCATCTAATTGTTCATATTGGAAATCGATTTTCAATTTTTTTTTTTAGGTTTGAGACTCAAATTTAACTTGTGCATTGCATTTTTTTAATTGTACCGAATGCTATGAATGCAGAGACGAATCTCGCATATACGTAATCGTTTCAATCGCGTATATATTTGCTGTGATAAAAGGTGTCGCAGACTCCTTCGCGTGTTACTGTCTACCCGGGCATGTTACTTTCATATTATATACGTTATTTTAACGTATGTAACGTAAATGTAATGTAACGTTTCATAAACGTTTGTAAGACATTTTGAAATAAGAAGTAATAGTGATATGCTACCACACTAAAGAGAAATGACAATACATCGTCTTGTACAATTATCGAACAAAATGTCGCTAAATATTTCTCGTAATAAAAATCTAAAAAAATTATTTGCTACATGATCACATAAAAGTAAATTAACTAGATACAACCTCTACATTAATAAATAAATTCCTTTACATATGCAGGTGATATTTATGTTATATGCTTTTAACATATGCGACATATTGACGCAAATTTAATAAAAATGTTGAGGGCCCCAAAAACGGCTCTCATCCACGAAGCGTCTTGGCACGGGCCTGTCGCAGTAGATCACATGATCGATGACGTATTGACGCATGCGCACGAAAGTCCCGCCCGAAGAGCGTTCTCTCTGATTCGTAAATGACTGTACCAGACTGTAGTTGACTGTACCGCGATACTCTGCGTGGCAACATACGCGGACGTGCGTATACTCGCGTGCGGTGGAGGGTGTACCGGTGTAAGAAGCTAGAATGCGCGCGCACTGTTACCGAATACGAGCGTGAACTTCCTTGCAGCAGAGCAGCTCGAGAACACAGCGGGAAGGGATTCGTGATTCGTCGGCGTATTACTCTCGCGAGCGAGCGAGCGAGCGAGCGAGGTGAAGGCCGGCGGAGCGAGAGAAACACCGAGGGAGAACGCAAAGGGGCTGAAGAGAAAAAGGAGGGGGGGAGAAGTGGAAGAAGAACAAGGAGGAGTGAGAGGTCCGAGCGGCGAGTGGTGCTGTCGGCGGTCGCGGAAGGAGATCGTCGTCGAGGGAATCGTAGAAGCCGAAGGCGGGCTGCGCGCCAAAGTGTACCGTGGAGGTATTATGCGTCGGCTCGGCATGAAGAACAAGCGTAGAAAGTCGGAAACGGCGAGCGACAGCGAGGCGGAGGAAAATGTCGGCGCACGCGCGTCCAGCGACAACGGCGAGACGCAGACCGGTAGGAACAACAACAACGCACAAAAGTCCGCCACGAAGAGACGCTCGTCGCGCGGTGCATCGCTGCAGAAGCCGGTGGCGCAGGCGGACAACGACGCCGAGACGGCGGATGCCGTCAACGCTGCGTCGGCGGAGCCAGAAGAGCGGGAAAACGGCGAGAAGAAACAGCCTCCGAATAAGCGCCGAAAGAAGGAGGATCCACGAGCGTCCACCTCCGCCCGCGACAAGTCCGGGCCTGAGGACGAGTATGAGGTATGGCGGTGTTTATCTTACAGTTTCCCTCCATTATCCGCGTCCGCGCGTCTCCGATCGCCGGTTACGCTCGGAATTTGGATTAGCAACGCGAGCGAGCGATCATATATCGCGGAGAAATCAAATTTTCTCTTTTCTCACGTCTAAAAAGCATTTTTGCTTTTCTCGCATAAGTAGCTGCCTTTCGGGACGTTGATTAGGTTGTTGCATCGTTACATCGACATCGACGACGTCGACGTTCGCTTTGCACGACGATCATTGGTCAGGCACATGTCCCCTTCCTCCTTTTTCCATCCAATGAGTGTTACCGCGCGGTGAGGAGCGCGCGAGATACGTGAAGTTAGCAACAGGGATAAATAAACACTTTACAATGAAACAGAATATCCTAAAATTGGTTGTATTTAAAAAATTAGTGCTTCAAATAAAAAGGTTTAAAAAGTTTAAGAATAAAAATTTATTACCCAAGTTTTTGAAAATTTTTTTACTATTTTATTTTGTTGAATTTCCGTGAATTTTGAGGCATTTCTGTAATAGGCTGACTATAAAAAATATTTTTAATATCAAAAACCTCAAATACTTCTTCTCTCATGTGTTAAAAATGTTAAGAACATATGTTTTTTTTTTCTTTTAGGTTGCAAGACTCATCAATATTCGTACCATTAAAGGTCGTCGACAATTTTTGGTAAGGTGGAAGGGATATGGAGAATCCGCAGACACTTGGGAAAATGAGAAGGATTTGAATTGTCCTACGTTGATAGAAGACTTTCTAATGGAAGAAAAAGATAAGGAAAGAGAAATGAGGTCGACGAAAACAGTATCGGCCAAAACAGATAAATCTAAAAAGTCTAAAAGTATTCCCAAGAAACAAACAGATAATGGTACGTTATATCGTCGTTTATTATCATTTTATCGTAAAACATTTATTGTAGAAATAATCTCACGCATTTGTATCATTTTTCTAGACGAGCAAAATAACAAAGGCGATAAAGAGACCTCGAAGGAATTTGAGGTCGAGAAAATAATTGAGGTACGTTTTAAGAAAAATGGCACAAAGGAATTCTTAATTAGATGGAAAGGATTCAGTACAGCCGACGACACGTGGGAACCAGAAAAGAATCTGAATTGTCCAGAACTCATCGCCAGATTTATGCAGAAGGTAGAAAAAGCAAAGACCTCCGAAATGCGAGAACTCAGAACTAATCCGGCACACACTAAACGATACACGTTGTCGACACGCGACCACGGAAGAAGATTATCAAAACGTAACAGAGACAAGCAAAGGTACTTCATCACTTCCAATCGACTACCGTGTGTACAATAGTCTATTTTGTATTTTAATTACATTGTATTAACAACAAAAATGCATATTCTTTTGCAGGGCGACTTATCATGAATGTGATGACTGAAGAACATCGCAGTCTCAACATCTTTATTTTTAAAGAATAAATATAAATATATATAGTCTGTAGTTTAAAAAAAGAGTGAAAGATAATTTGAGAGGAAAAAAATATATCAAAACATGAATAATTTGCTATTACAATATTAGAAGCATACAGCGTATGCACGTCCTCCTCGAGGAAGTGAAGGCTCCGTGTGAATAAGATGCGTATATATATATGTATATATATATATATATATATATATATACAAAGTTCACACATACATACACATGCAAGTGTTTATTAATGCAAAAAGACTAGAGTTTTCAGGATATTTATATTACCAAACGCGATTTGTGACTTAGTGGTTTATTTGAATGTGTAACACAAAGGGAAAGGTTTATATTGTGATTTCTCGCTTTTGACATCATAACGGGCTAAGAGAGCCGAAAAACTGAACGAAAGAGATGAAAAGAATAATTAAAATTTAATAAAATGTATGAAGTGTAGGAAAGAGAAAGTATTACTTTCTCCTGCGTGACGTATGCGTCTTGAAAGATGTGCACAGAATATATAAGTTATGTTCGAGTAATGTCGCATTTATTATTCTACATTACGGTTACGACATGTATTCACAAATTTGAAATCAACAAAAATATTTTGTATTTGAAATCTTTATCCATTATCTTTAACTACTACTATGTAATATTAATTTTACGATGTAAGGTGCAATCGTAACATCTTTGACAGATTTTTAAAAAGATAGAAGCTATCGGTACATGTACGTCCCAATGGAAAAAAAAACTAATTTTGTCGAAACAGTATAAAGTTCTCATTATAACTTTAGCATAAGGAAATTAAAAGAAAAACACTCGTGTTTAAGAAGATAATTTATTTAATCATTTTACACACGTTCACTCCTCTTTACCTCCTTTACTTGCAAACCTAAAAAAAATGGTTCAATCATATACTAAAGTCTTGAAATTTTTTAAAAAATTCAATGTATATTACAATTATAAGCGAGCCCCCGCACAATGAAAAATATAAAGAACAGATATTAGCGATTAGGACCAAAGATTCGGGAATAAAACCAGATGCACAATGAAAAAAATGGGCAATAGATTTTTAACATCAATTGCCTGGCGTTGTGCACGGCAAGGGCCTTTAGTTCTAATCGCTAATGTCTGTTCGTTCCTTATATTTTTTATTTTACGGAGGCCCTTAGAAAGCACTGTCATATCGTTAATCCAAACTATAAAATGTAATCGCCAGTGGAGTTTGTTATACCTGGTGGTAAGGATTGCTTGAGCTTCTCAGCCTTTTCCTTATCTGTGATTACGAGGGTATACAGAAATCGGGAGCAGCGAACCTTGAACTTAACATTGTCAGCGTTCTTCTTGATTTTCACAGCTGAAACAAAAAAAGCAGGGAAATTATACGTGCCCAAAACTAGACTCACAGGGAAGATACGTTTGAATAAAAAATATTTTACACTTTGCGTCCTTCCTCCTGGCTTTCAGCAGAAAGTCCTTGATTTCTTTGATTTCTCGCGGCTGGAAATATAAAACAAAATATCATTTATGCACCTACCGATTTGACCAAAACTCAATTTTGAGGTTACGTTGTCACAGATATGTTATCTTGACATCAACCCAGTGAAATAAAGCACATGCTTTTGTTCATATCCAAAAATGCGTAAAATGTAGCCAAGTTAAAAAAAGTTAAACAACAGACTCACCATTTTTTGTGATTTGTTAGGATAATTAGATCGACCTGGAACAGAATAAGATTTCGATGAGAAACTTATAACGAAATGCAAAACGATTCGGGACACGTGAAACGATGTGTTTTTTCGAGCGAGCGCGAAGTAACATTTTTGCAAAACGATAAACGATGACGAACGAACGATACGGATACAAAATAAATTCTGCAAGAGCACGTTATACTCACTCCAAGCGCACGCTGACGTAGAGAGAATGAAAGAAAGGGAATGATGCGAACACCAGCGACAGTCGCGATCAGTCGGCTTTGGTTAGGTTTCGGACGCCAGTCAAATCAGCAACTAAATTCGAAATAAAATCCAGGTAATAATTTTAGGAAGAATTTTATAGGGGTTGTACAATTTCGACGGGAATAATTTATACAGATGTTGATGAAAATAACAAAACCATATTTGCATTCAAATTTCTTAAAAAATGGAAATAACAATTTTCGGGACAAATCAGCTGTTTCGTCGGTAAAGTAGGAATCCTTGGAACCCAAGGATCAACTCCGTTCCGAAAGAGAGAAAGAATAAGAAAAAAGAAGATGAATACAGCCTCTTTCACGATTTAAAGTGGAAAGAGGGGTCAAAGTAGACGAACGTAGCTATTTTGAGGCGCAAGCCGAACTGAAATGACATATATTAATCTATATATACATATCTAGATCAATCTAGACTAATCTAGAATCCATATAAATACATATATATTCATGGACTGCTCAGTTATCTCGTTCATATCGCCCAATATCGGTCTCGCGCCGTGCAAGAGGAAACAGCCGGCCGCGGACGTCGCGCGTTTGCAACTTTGCAGTCGCGAGATATCTTGCTTCCGGTCTTTCTATTGTACTTATTTACGCGTCCGTTTCGCGTCTGATCGAGTGCGAGTCGAGCCAGGCGCGATTGGAGCTGGTCAGCTGGAGCAAAGCGTACACGCAAACATTTATCGTCAAACGTAACGGATCTCGAACAATCTCGACGCAGCCGCGTGAGCTGACGGGGATTCGGACAGGCGCGCACGCGATCGTGTTCCGCATCGACGTCGTCGCCGAGGGTACCGATTAGGCCGTCTCGTCTCGCCGGGGGAGTCGATGCTAGACGTGGAGACGCAGCATGGAAAGCACGGAACAGCCGAGCAACGAGCAGAAACCGAAAGACAGGTTAGTCGGCCTGCTGGACCACATTGAGGCTCACGTAGAGCAACTGCGAAAGGATGCCGCCAGGCTCATGGAGGAGAAGGATGGCCTGCTGACGACCTTGGACACCCTCAGGAACAACGACATGCTGTTCGCCCTCGAGGAGCGTGAGTAGACTTAATTTACGTTGCCACGATTAAAGGAAGACCCAGAGTATTTCGGTCTAACCGAAATTAGAATACTGAGTGGTGCTGGGAGAAGAACAGAATGAGAAAGAGAAAGAGAGAGATATTTTACTCCTTGAATGATAGGTATTATTTAATCTGTGATAATATAACATAAATATTAATGTATGTTGTCTGTGTTGTACCTAATAATTCTTCTTTGACCGTGGGAGAAAACAAGTCTGTAGAAATGTTTAAAATAATGGGATAAGTCATGTATGGGTTATTTATTAAGTAGAAAATCTGTCATATATACGTTCCAAATTGAACATTGTTAATTTTCTTTGAAACAACATTAAAAATACTTGTCATATTTTTATCCAGCTGATCGGGACGATATCTTGAGGTATGCGGATAGATTGTCCATGCGCTGTTCCACTGTAGATGTATTGGTTACAGTCCAACGGGATCATGTTCAAGAGGAAGCGTTGCATCAGGTATTTGAAACTCGATTACAGTATCCCGTAAAGGTTATTCAAAGTATAAAGTAATTTCATAGTCCAATGACTGATCAAATTATTGTTGAAATAGGTTAACGGCCTGATCGACAGCTTAGTCATAGGCTTGCGACAAGATCCAAACAGCACTCGGCAGCGATGCGCAGAATTCATGAACGCATGCTCCTCCCATAGCATAGGACATTCCGATAAAGTCTTTGAGACCGCCATTCTCGGATGCACGTTGGATGATCAAAAGCGAGTCAAGAAGAGACTGCAGGGATTGCTCGATTACATCGACAAGATGCACATCTTGGAGATGACACAGTAAATGACACAAAGAGATTACAAGGTGGATTAAATCTGCCTCTCATTTTCCATATAAGTTTCGAGTGGCGAAGCTTTTCGACGGTCTAGCGCTGTTAGCGAATCAAGAGACATTTGGGAAAGATACATTCTTTGCGCCTTTTTTGCGCGGCTAAGTTTCCATTTTTCTTCCACTTCGCGAATAGCCACCTCGAATGGAACGCTTGGCTGTGTACAGAATGCACAGTGATCGATTGGATTTAATCTTGCGATGCGAGATCGATTCTGGGCGTTTATATGATTCGTGAACATATTTGAAGCACTTAGCATTTCGGCACTCTAAAAAAACTTAAAAAAAAGGTCTTGAAAAAGCGTTCGATAACATTTTTCAAATCTGTACCGTTTTCAAATAAAGAGGAATTTCTAGAGAATGTGTACTGCAATTGTAGACGTTTAAATACTATGTGAAGGATGTAATGTTGAAAATATGAAGTAAATGGGCCTCTTTACACTCTCACTTTAATAGGACCGTGTATTTATTTTGTGAAATAGCAATTATTAGTTTTGAGTGTAACGAGAGCGGTTCAATTATCTTATTTCATTATCAAAGATTAATTCTTCTTAGATGATTCAAGATGGTCTGTTAATTGTATTCTTGGATTAAAAATCCCTTTTTTTATTTCTTTTTTTTGTTTATGGGACCTTTTCTCAAGATTTCATTTATCAAAGATAGTTTTTACTTGTAGCAAAATGTACAAAGATTTTATTGCATTCTGTAATATTACAAATAAGTAAAAATACAACATTAGTTATTAAGTAACTTATTGTAAACGCTATTGCCTTAGGAAACTGTAATTTACACTGTGCTTAAGACTCCCATTTTCTCACTACAGTAGAATTGAATTATGATTGTCAGAAGAGAGAAGTGTGAAAGAAAAAAGAAATTCACGTTGATTTCTCACTTTTGGCGTTTTAATTCAATATTCAACATTAAGGATGTTCTGGAGAGTTTATCAAAATGCTACAAAGTTGATGAAAATTTAATACCATATTTTGTATTCTCTTTCAAAGCTCGGGGCCAAATTTCAGAACGATTCACAATTTAAATAAAAAGTTATCAATTTTTTAATATCCAAGTTTTACCACGTAACTTTAAAGTGTATCCAAAACTAAAAACATTACCCAAGCGACACATCGTAGTCAAAATGACATCATATTGACCAAAAAATGATGTCATTTTGACTGCGATGTGTCACATGTCACTTGGGTAAAAAATGCTACCAACATAATATTGTATACAAGTACATTAACAAACAAAAATATAACAAAATTTGAAATTACAAAATTTTTTTTTTTTTCGAGATTTTGAAAAAAGTAGTAACAGTTATTTACAGTCACTAAATCTACGTTTTTTACATTCTATTAGATTTGCCGTAACTATTTATATACATTTTTTTTCTTTGGATCTTGGAGAATTAAGGCCCGGGCACATAGAAAAATTTAAGCAGTAAGGAAATCAACAGTTTGGATTTGCTACCGCTTACGTTATGTCTTTTAAGTTCTTGACTGTGATTGGCTGATTTGTTTATTGCTTAAGTTTTTCTATTCCCGGGCCTTTAATATCAGAGTTTTTAATATTTTCTGCTTTGGTTGAGAAATACTTTGGAAATACTTTGGAAATACTTCGGTTGGAAATACTTTTGATTGAGACGGTGTTTCCAGAACATCCTTAAAGAAATAAAAGCCTTGAACCACAATACATGTTTGGAATGCATTTTTATTTCGTTAATTTGAAAATTTTGCAAAAAGTTGAGCAGGTCTTGAATTATTATAGAATTTGAATAATCTTAAGTAATATCGACGCGCTAATCTGTAAATAACGATTATTATATTACTATTATTGTCGTTGTCATTTAATTAACGCTATATTCATATCGACATTAAAATCTTAATTTCTTAATTTTGGTCCTTGAATGCGATGCAATTTAAATATTAATAATTCACATAATATATATATGCCTATATATAGATATGATAATATGGCGAGATATTTACAAATTACGCGTCATATTCGTATTACATCGCTATTCCCATTCGCACTTGCGAGTACGCGTAGTTGCAGTTAATACTTTACGATTAATCTTCTTCCATACCTTATAATCTACAACCATTTGGTTAACGTTATGAGCATAATTATGGTGATTATTCCTATTGCATTTAAATTGACGTGTTCTCAAATGTTATGCGTCCTATGTGTTCTTATACACGAAACCGTCGTAGGCCGTTAATTAGAATACAATAGACTTTGCATTACCGGACACTGTAAATCACCGTCCGCGTTTACGCCTTCAGAGAATAAACTATATATATTTACAAGACAATCGTACCTTCGACGTTTTCATGTGATACTCGGTGCGCGATGTAACGCTATCGTACATACATCACGAGATACAGCTACAAGAGTCTACAAGCGTTTTTTACGAAATTTCGTTTCTTATGACTCTTTGTTTTGCCACCGGGCCGAAGGATTATCGTTCCGTTGCCTGCGTTACGACCGCACATTGACCCATCTGGACTAAACGCACCTGCAAACCAGAAAAAAATGCAACGTCATTTATACTGTAGACCGTAGACTACGAGCTTCTGCAGAACTATTGAATCTAATCGTACTGATGACGGAAGGAGATCTAGGCTCTGCGGAATATAGTCTCAAGTCGTCTTGATAGTCATCGTCGGAGCGACGCATCTCGTGCAGGCATCGGGACGCCAAGTGTCGGAAGACGCTCATTACGCCGATATCCTCCTTCACGGACGTCCGCAGGAGTTTGCAGCCTAAGGCGCGGCTGAGCCTCTCGGCTTCGTCCCTGTAATATCGAGGGCTTCGAATACGAGTTTTATTTTAAGGAAACTTAGTGAAAACTATCTAGCGTATACTCACGGATCGATCACGCTCTGATCGACGAGATCAATTTTATTTTGCACCAGAACTGTGGGTATTTCTCCACACTCGTTCTCGACCTATAAGAGAATATTTTAGGAAAATTATACAGTGTCCAAAAAAACCGAATGTGTCTTTAATAATAGAGTTTTTGCATTTGGAATCGATTTTTCTTTATTAAAAATGTCAAACCCTTAACAAAGTTGTCAAATAATTTTACATATAAATTTTAGTAAGCAATGGAAAGTTTGAAGCGAACTAAATTTTAGGGGAACCGAATGAAAATTATCATTCCTCTACTAACTCACAGATTTGTACCTTAAGTTTCCACGAGGGAATAGCATCGAAAGAATCTCTATCGGTAGCCGAATAAGCGAGGACACAGGCATGGGCGCCGCGGTAATAAGCCGCGGTTATCGCATCAAATTCTTCCTGTCCTGCAGTATCCCAGAGCATCAATCTTACGTCCTCACCGTCAACTCTGTCAGCATAAACATATATATATTCATTTATCTACATATTTATTTGTTATTCATAATCCTGATCCTAATTAATCTTAATTATCTATATTTCTAATTTATGGGAATGTATATACACATACATGATCTTTAAGAATTAAAGATCAAATTATTATTGCGATTTATACGATTGTTAGGCACGCGAAGAGCGACTAATCGCAAGATAGGCATAATTGAAGGATGGATCATGCACACATATGCAGCGAGATAAAATTCCTTTCTATGTTTGACCGACATTACATCGATAGCCAGATGTCGAGAGGGGGATACGAGAAGTATCCCACGGTAGCTCGCGCTGGCACGATTAAAATCGGGTTTTTCTCAGGCACGTCGCTCTCGAACTTATACACGCATACGTAGCGGTATGCGATGATCAGCAACGAATAATCAGATCAGTAGACATAATATTCGAATCAATTTAATTTCTCTGTATTAGCATTCGTCGACTACTTAAAAAAAATATGTGAGGCATTCATGCACAAATCCCCTTTTGCTATAAATGTATCAGAAATTTCTATCTTCTAACGTCTACGACATTCCTCAATACAGTTTCCCTAAGTTTTAAGTCTTAAAGATTTAAAACTAATAAATAGATTGTAGATTTAATCCACTCTTGCTCGGAATGCCGCGTTTGTGTCAGATCAAGTTAATTTTGAATTGAAACGATTCGACACGTTTACCGAGCAATTATACTTACTCGATCTCACGCTCTAGGAAGTCGACGCCGATCGTCTTCTTGTAGTCCCTCGTATAAGTACCTTTGCAAAACCTTTGAATCATCGACGACTTCCCCACGGCGCCGTTGCCCACTATCACCACCTAAACGAGAGATGTTAATGTTATTGTTCATTCATCAGTAGTTATATATTATTCTATTAATTAAATGGTTATTTTAAATTAATAACCATCGAGCAAATGATCGAGGTTCGATCGATCATGGCCCAAACAATCTTTGCCAAATATATACGATGGCGCGTCGCATGAGGAAGTGGGCTACATCGATAAAAATATATAAGTCCATAAAAAAAAACCGGTCGCCGAAGGCAATCTTGCTTTTACCGTATAGCTTAGGCCTTTAGGCCTTATAATTCGAAGCGACATGTATAGCTCACGACGGAAGGAATCTCAGGAATGTTCGCATACGAAAAGTGCTGAGGCACTCAAACATCGAATGTCTAATCTGTGCTGGAGTTTTTCCTGAGTTCCGCACGTGCAGCCTTATCTCGATTCTCGACTTATCCATCCTGATATAGCTGTAAACCGCGGATAAATCATAATATTCTCCGCGTTCGACTGGTTTCCAATGAATATACCGAGAGAGCGAGCGGACCACATGGCTTCTTCTCTACTCGGCTTCGGAATCACATGGACGGCGATTTCTCGTGTAATTAGCGATTGGAAATGCCGTCCGGCAAATTGAATAAATCAATAGCGTGACATTTGTCCATTCATTTGTGGGCTTTAACGGAACTTGAAACTCGCTCGTAAAGATATGCGACGTAAGAAAGTTGCGGTGGTCATCCCACACGATATCTCGGTCAAGGAAAATCGTATACCCGGAAGAGATGCGATTAAAAGAATCATATATATTCGGTAATTCGGAAACACGCTGTATAAATAGTGACAAGAAAAAGCGTAGTCTCCGGCAAACAGGCGCGTACGCGATGAAAACGCGAGTAAGTACCGTTACCGGCAATCGGGAGATAAGCAGAGATCACTGGAGCAGCACCGAGCTCGCATGCGCTTGATGCGGTTCCCTTTTTTTTTTTATATTTGCCACTTTAGCGCGGCTGCGATTGGAGAGATTGGACGCAGCGCGTAAACAGCCTGAAGACAACTCCATCGCAGAAACTTCATTTTCGGCATTTTTTTCTCTGTGAATATATCGCGTACGACTGATTCGTAAATCAAAAGTTTATCCTCGCTCTTCTCCGTTTTCCTAAGTCGCCTGGATTTTAAGTCTCAAGCTCATTTGCTTCCCAAATTGCCTAAAACTGTTATTTAATTCTTTACTTATGTATCACACGTATATAGTATATGCATATGTGGTGATTTCCCGCTCAACTCTCCGACCAACCGGTTAACTACACGCCGGCGGGTTCTACCTCGCGTGTGTTAATCACCTGCGAAATTTATCGAGTCGCTTCCTCGGCGAGATCGCGAACTCTCGGTGAGATGCTCGCCGAGAACTTCGGTAACTTGGGCATCGATGAATTTCGTATTCAGCTAAAAAAATGCGATCGCATAATAGAGTTTGCAGAGTACAAATATTGCGGTGCGGACGAATGAGCTGATACGAGTGTTGCGAATAAACGGCCGAATAAGCTAATTTGCGTATATATAAATGTAACTGTGCTAAATAATGACTTAAGAATATAACCACATTAAAATTATTATATTGTACTTTAGTTCCGGTAGTTGGAATACTGCTCTATCGTTTAATTTGAACTTTTTACTATATAATCACCATCGTATTTTAATTGAATCTGTGCAGCCCAAATTCTTACGTATGGTTGCCTACCGTATAAGTAATCTCATGTCAATCACTTGTCATGATATTACTGTGCTATATTAGAAAGACTAATGCCCCTTTTCACCAACGTCGTTTAACTTGAACCTTAGTTCAATTCACTCTTTGTCTCTTTCTAACAGTCTCCCTTAGAAACAGACAAAGAGTGAATTGAACTAAGGTTCAAGTTAAACGACATTGGTGAAAACGGGCATTAAAATTTATTACCCTTAGAGAATAGGAGATTGATCTTTGACCTTACATTCATCTTTAAGCTTTTCAACTACTTTATTGATGGTTCGGATTTATTAAGAAATATCAATGTTGACATTCCAACTAGAGAGACTTAAGTCAATACTCCATCTTTCATATCGGACAGCTCCGTACTTCATATATATAGGACAAATTCTTGGATAAATAGGTTGATGAACTCTATGAATAATTATTACAATAGTGTAGATTTCTTTAACGGCTCTGTATCAACTTCCAAGCTAAATCTTACTCGATTACTCTCGTAATATTAATTAATAACTCAATAATACAGAGTCTCGGAGTGATAATAAAACACTCTTTGTATTAGATTCGTATAATGTTCTCTTTTTCTTCACTGTATGCTAAAAGGTATTTTTTCCCACTAATAAAGATTATTATTATTATTATCCAGGAATGAGCATCTCGATAACGGTTGTGTTTATACATAAATATCGCGAAGAAAGCGAGCGTTAATTCTCTATTTCTTCTTTTTAGTTAAGAATGAAAGATATAATAATACAGATGTATTTCTTCAGAGATTTTCAGTATTCGAGTCCGGTCTTTGAAAAATTCCTTCTAAATTGTTTCGTCGAAAGAATCCCTGAATATAAGAGGTGATATTGTTAAGTCTAGAATAAGACACTCAATGTCCATCCGCTGAGAATTATTCCGGTGGGAAGTGATTCGTCGCGTCGCGTCGAGAGCGAGCATTAAAGGAATGCCTTAGATCCGGTGAATAAAAAAATCGGCGAGGTGCGGCCTCACCGGGAGATAGTAACCTCGCGCGTAGCACGACGACGCATCGTGCCGCGACGAGGATGCGAGGAAGCCGCTTTCCTTTCCGGCGCGGAAAATCGCGACGGAGGCGCAAATAAGAAGAAAAATATGCCCTCGTTCCTCTCGCAGCCGCGCTCTTTCGCATTTTAACGAAACGAAGCGCGAACGCGCACTCGTGAAATTTGGAGAAACCTATAGATTGAACCTATAGATTGAAGCGAGAGAATAAGTGAAAAAAATCGCAGCAAAGTACGAAACTAGAGGGAACGGAAGAGGAGACCGGCGGCCCCGCGATTACCTTGAGTGATATCTCGAGCTCTTCCTCCCTCATTCTGACCGTAAAAGGCGATTAACATAATATCCCAGTGCAACGCGAATCCGTCCTTCCATCGATCGGATGTGCGCGTAGATCGCTGTTGGCATGTGAAAATTTAGCGTTTATTCGAAAGCAGCGTGGATATATCAAGGAGGGAGAAAAAGAGGGATCTCTCTGTCTCTCTCTCTGTCTTTCTTTCACCTCCTCTCTCTTCTCGGTATTCCCGAGTCGATGACTTTGCGCCTCGGCCGAGTCATTATTCAGAGCTCCGACACACACGGCGGCGTCGCGCCGCGTTTCTTCGCATCGCGCCCGCGATATATTATCACTTTCTCGTATTAGGAAAAAGTCTTGCTCGCCGAAACGAAACGGAACGGAACTCGCGCCCGCGCACGCCGCGATAAAAGAGAGGAGAGCGGTCTTTCCTCGCGCGCACGACGTGCTGCAGAGTGTGGTGTGGTACGGAACGGAACGGAACGGAGCACGCATGCACGCACGCATGCACGCACGCACGCAGGCATGCACGCATCACGCACGCACGAATGCGCGCCGCTGACCACCACTGGCCGACTGAAGAGAACACCTGTATGGCAGGAGACACCTGTCGCCGACGCGCGCTTGCGGATCCTGGTGATTTTGTGTAGCTAGTGAATCCTCGTGTATAAGACACTAGTTGAACTTGTAACTCTCTTCGTTTATACATGTAAGCGTCCAATATTTAGGCACGCATTGTGTCCAATTGGAAATAATTTCAGTTTGTATTAGCTCTTAATTATATTCTTCTAATACTTTGTTGAAAGTTTGAATGTTCGTAGTTTATGTAAAATATCAGTGGAAAGTTCGCTTGATATTGATAATAAAAATAATGTCTGTATCGACGGTCGCATTAACTTTACCGGCGGCAGTGTAATTTTAAGATTCAAAGTTTTTATTTTGAAAACTAAAATATATCAATAAAATATAATGGGTAAGAGATAATATTCACTCTCACTAAAATTCAAAGGATCGACTGTGATTTCATAAATTTTTTAATCTGTAATGTCGATAGTTATCAACATCGACAAAACGAACGATATTTTAAATACAGTAGCACTACTGTAATTATAAGAGTATGTAATATAATTATATTAATAAAAATGTATATATATTTTTTTTTTGTAATTTTTTAAAAATTTATAAAGTTAAAATTAATGATATACAAAATATATTACATGTATATACTTGTCTTATACATATATGGATAAATCATACCCGTCCAAACCCATTCCCACATGTTGCATTAACCAACATTTAACCCTTCGTAGTCACACATGGGTCAATTTGACCCGCCCTCATTAGGATCTAAATATCAGCTATATAAATACCAATGTTAATTTGCATTAAAGAACACATATAACAACGTTAAAATAAATGTATTTCTAGAAATATATGTCCTGCAGTCGTTCGTTGCATTTCAGAGCTCTACGTTCCCGCCGAGCAAACGCATACGCAGCTTCTATTTTTTTCTCGTTATTAACTAATATGTAACAACATTTTATAATTATTTATCGTCTAATCACATTCGAGAGAGCATGCCTCGCATTAAAGGACACATAACAATGTTAAAATGAACGTATTTCTCAAGATTTAGTTGGTCTCGCGTATCGTATTTCGGATCTCCGAATTTGTCGTCCAACGCCGCCCGTCGGCATTCGCGCACCTACCTCTCTCTCGTTGGCTAGCATTATGCAACAGCTTTCTATAATTTTTTATCGTTTAATCTTATTCGAGAGAGCCTAATTCGCATTAAAGGACACATAACAATGTTAGAATAAACGTATTTCTCGAGATTTATTTGGTGTCGCGTGTGGTATTTCGGAGCTCCGACTTTGTCGTCCAACGCCGCCCGACGGCATTCCGCCTCTACCTCTTTCTCGCTGGCTAGCATTATGCAACAGCATTTTATAATGATTTATCGTCTAATCACATTCGAGAGAGCATGCCTCGTATCAAAGAATACATAATAATATTAAAATAAACGTATTTCTCGAGATTTATTTGGTGTCGCGTGTGGTATTTCGGAGCTCCGAATTTGTCACCCATGCAACGCCGCCCGTCAACATTCGCGGCTACTTTTTTCTTGTTATCTAACATTATGCAGCAACATTTTGAAACTCTTTAGCGTCTAATTACATCTGAGAGAGCAAGTCTCGCATTAAAGCATACATAACAATGTTAAAATGAATATATTTCTCGAGATATATGACCCAGTGTCGTTCAGCGCATTTCGGAGCTTCTACAACCTTTCCGCCGAGCCGGCCGAGCACGAGCACTGCATTAATTCGTTAATTCGCAATAATAGTTTCAGTTATTCATACATATAGAGTACATATACATATAAAAAGTAATTAATAAAAACGTTATTAATTTAACAAACAATAGATATTAATATTAAATTATTATTAAGTAATAACGAGAAATATATCGTGCATTCGTTTGACGCTTGAAAGATCATAAAAATTATGAAAAGAATTTTAGGTTATGAGGAAAGCAAGAATCTCGAGTTTGGAGTCATCTGTAATTCCTCAGAAATCGCTCCTGTTACGCGGGAAGCATGTTGAGCGAGGAGGTTTTAGTAGATATTCGAGCAGCGGCGCGCCTACCCCCACTATTACCCATCGCCATTTTGGAACGGTGCGCCGGGCGCGCGACGAGGATGCCCAGCCTACGGCCAATCAGAGCGCTGGCAGGTGTGCATAGGAGGGGCAGTAGGCTCCCGCGCTCTGACCAATAGCAGCGTGATTACGAGGAGGCAATGTGGGGTGGCAAAACCCGCGCTCGGAATACCTCCGTCAACCTCCTTGCCTAACATGCTAGCCTGATACATCAGGAGTAAATTTCCGAGATTTCGCGGTGCGAAACCTGAGTTTTATCGCCTACTTTATCATCCGAATTAATTCTTTTATTAACTTTTATTGTCTTCTAACGTCTCCACTGATGCATAATTAAATTCTTGCTATTTTTTAATTATTATTTTAGATTACAGTATTCTATTAATCTAATATTAATATAGTTATTTAATTCTATTAGTATAGTTATTAATTATGTTCTTTTAAATAATTTATGCAAACGCAAAATGCGGCAGAAAGTTTCGCATACTGAAATGTAAAACGTATGCAACAGCATTTTAAAACTCTCTATTGTCAAATCTCGTTTGAGAGAGCATGATTCGCATTAAACATATTTCTCGATATTTATTTGGTGTTGCGTGTGGTATTTTAGATCTCCGAATTTTTCGTCCAACGCCGCCCGTCGGCATTCGCAGCTATACCTTATTTTTCTTGTTATCTAACATTATGCAGCAACATTTTGAAACTCTTTATAGCGTCTAATTACATCTGAGAGAGCAAGTCTCGCATTAAAAATTAAAACATACATAACAATGTTAAAATGATCAGTTATATGTAGAGACGTTAGTTAAGACGATAAAAGTTAATAGAAGAATTAATTCGGATGATAAAGTAGGCGAAAC